TGAGCTGAAGAGCTGAGGGACAGCGCCCAGGCCCAGAGTTCAGGCACCATGAATGGCAAAAAAAAAAAAAAAAAAAAAAAAAAAAAAAAAAAAAAAAAAAAAAAAAAAAAAAAAAAGAGTTTCCCGACTTTTTTTTTGCCCGGACTGGCTTTGAACTGAAGTCTTCAGATCTCAGCCTCCTAAGTAGCTAGGATTACAGGCATGAGCCACCAGTGCCTGACCTTAGTAATACTGCAGGATATAGATTGTGTTTTGTTTTTGATGTCAGGGAGGAAAGCCAGGGTCTTGAGTCTGACAGTCAAACTGTAGTCCCAACAGTTTTCTTTTAAAACAAAAAATATTTTCAGAAAAAAGGCTACATCTTTTTTTTTTTTTCTTTTGGTCGGTCGTGGGGCTTGAACTCTGGGCTTGGGTACTGTCCCTGTGCTCTTCAGCTCAAGGTGAGCGCTTTACCGCTTGAGCCACAGCACTACTTTGGTTTTCTGGTGGTTTACTGGAGATAAGAGTCTCACAGACTTTCCTGCCCAGGCTGGCTCTGAACCGCAATCTTCAGATCTCAGCCTCCAGAGTAGCTAGGATTACAGGGGTAAGCCACCGGCGCTCGGCAATGGCTACATCTTTAATAATACTCATGGGAAAAAAACACTCAACAAGTGTAAATACTTTTGATTTTATTAAAGAAAGTACAAAATATTGAATTCTACATTTTAAAACACTATTATTTTAAGGAATCAGTCAAGTCTCTTCATACTGATAGTATGTTTCAACATTTCCATTTTAAATAGTATCTATTTCTAAAAAATCTTGAATTCTGAAAAATAAGCAGAAGAAAAGTAAATTACTATTCCCAAATTGTTTGTTTTCAAAGTTTCAGGGTGATGAACATTAACATGAAATTTACCATTTTGCCAGGCAGTGATGCTCATGCCTGTAATCCTAGCTCTTCAGGAGGCTGAGATCTGAGTATCTCAAATTGAAACAAGCCTGGTTGGCAAGTTTGTGAGATTTTATCTCTACCTACCAAAAAGACAGAATGGTAGAGTGCCAGCCTTAAGCACAAGGCTAAGGGAAAGTGTGCCAGGCCTTGAGTTCAAGCCCTAATATTGGGAAGTGCACATGCACATGCAAACATGCTCACACATACACATACACACACACATACTCACATTCACACACACCCGCGTGTGTGTGCGAGTGCACATACAAAAAGAAATTACCATCTTAATCATTTTTTTGTTTGTTTGGCTATCCTTTGGCCATCAGGGCCTAATACTTGAGCCATGCCCCAGCCCATCTTAATCTTATTATTTTTGGGGGGTGGTACTTGGATTTGAACTCAGGGCACCGAATTTTATATGCTAGTGTTCTACTGACACTTTGTTTTTTATTTTTGGTGCCAGTCCAGGGGCTTAAACTTGGGCCCTGGGTGTTGTCACTGAGCTTCTTTTGCTCAAGGCTAGAGTTCTACCACTTGAGCCACAGCTCTTGATTCCAGTTCTTGTGGAGCTAAGACTCTTAAGAGTTTCCTGCCTGGACTGGCTTAGAACCATGATCCTCTGGGTGTTCAGCTTCTACTGACACCTTAATTAATTTAAGTGTACAGTTCAGTAGTGTTAACTAGATTCTCATTGTGTGCCAGCAATCTCTAGAGTGTTTTCATCTTGTAAAACAGAAACTGTCTCCATTAAGTAATAACTGCCTGTTCCCTGGTCTTGACCACCTCTACTCATTGTTTCTGTGAATTTGAGATTTTGGTCACATACACTGTGGCTTTTTGTGAGTGACTTATTTCACTTAAAGAATGTCTTCAAGATTTCATTTAGGCTGTAGCATGGGACAACATATTCTTCATTTTTAGTTCTATTTCTGGCTTTTTAGTGGTTAATTGAAATAATGGTGTCATAGACTTTCTTCCCTGGCTGGCCTTGAATTGCAATACTCAGCTGTCAGTCTCTGGAGTCGCTAGGATTATAGTTGTGATCTACTAGTGCTGGCTTACTCTTTTTTTTTTAGGCATGTGTATATTATATTTTGCTCAGAATAACTCTGCTTTCTTTCCTCCTCTCCTCAATCTATTAATTAGCAGTGTTCATTGAGGGTCCTTATATTTTTTTCTTTTTTGTGGTACTGAGGCTTTTTTTTGTCGGTCAAGGGGCTTGAACTCTGGGCCTGGGCGCTGTCCCTCAGCTCTTCAGCTCAAGGGGAGTGCTGTACTACTTGAGTCACAGCACCACTTCCAGTTTTCTGAGTGGTTTATTGGAGGTAAGAGTCTCACGGACTTTCCTGCTTGGGCTGGCTTTGAACTGTGGTCCTCAGATCTCAGCCTCCTGAGTAGCTAGGATTACAGGTGCAAGCCACCAGTGCCTGGATTGGTGCTGAGTTTTCAGTTCAGAGCCAAGTGATGGCTCAGCTTTCTAGCTCATGGCTGGTGCTCTATTCCTTGAGCCACACTTCCAGCTTGGCTTTTTGCTTATAAATTAAAGATAAGAATTTCACAGATTTTTTTTCTGCCTAGGATGGCTTTAAACCTTGATCCTCCAAATTTGTCTTCTGAATAGCTAGGATTAGGTTTGAGCAACCAGCATCTGGCTTCTTTTTGTAAGGCTGAATTTTTCATTATTATGTATGAGATTGATCCTACGTGAACCATTCTATTATGAATAATGCTGCTACAATTATTCATGAATAAATGTTGCTTTCTGTGCTTTAATTTGGCTAGCTAGGGCTGGGAAGGTGGCTCAGTGGTAGAGCACTTGCTTGCATGCATGAGGCTGTGGGTTCGATTCCTCAGCACCACATAAGCAAAAAAGAAAAAAACTGGAAGTGGCGCTGTAGCTCAAGTGGTAGAGCGCTAGCCTTGAGCTGAAGAACTGAGGGACAGTGCCCAAGCCCAGAGTTCAGGCCCCACGACTGGACCAAAAAAAAAAAAAAACCAAGAAAAATTTGGATAGCTAGAAGTGGACTTGTGATATCATAGAGTTATGCTATATTTAATGTTTAATGGAACGCTGTACTGTTTTCTACAGTACCATTTTACAGTCCCACCAAAAGTGCTCAAGGATCCAGTTTTCTATATGCCTACCAATACTTGTGTGTGTGTTTGTGTGTGTGTGTGTGTGTGTGTGTGTGTGCGTACTGGGGCATGAACTCAGGCCCTCATACTCTTGCTTGGATATTTTGCTCAAGGATGGTGCTTTTATCACTTGAGCTATAGCTACAGTTCTGGCTTTTTGCTGGTTAAGTAGACATAAGACTCATAGACTTTCCTGTCCAGGCTGGCTGTGAACTGCAACTCCCTCTTGAATAGCTAGGATAACAGGCATGAGCAACCCAGCTATCCTTGGACATTTTTGGTAATAGCCATCTTTTCTGTGTAATGCTGGAGATTGAACCCAAAGCCTTGCGCCTATTAAGTAAATGCTCTTTCCCCAAGCTTTATCCCTAGCATTTAAAAAATGTGTTTTTTTTTAAATAAAGACAATGTACAGAAGGGTTACAGTTACGTAAGTCATTTCTTTTCTTTTGGACGTCATCCTTCCCTTGCATGCTCTCAGTTTTTTCCTCCCATCCCTACCCTAGCCATTTCCTTTCTACAGTTAAAACATCTTTTTGTTTGTTTTTGGAGACAAAGTTTTTCAGTGTAGCTTGGACTGACCTTGAGCTTTGGATCCACCTGTCTCAGCATCCCACAAGCTGGGATTACAGTCATGTACTATCTTGCCAGGCTTGCTTAAGACATCTTAAATATGTCTCACATGTCCTTTACACAACTGCTTAACATATATTTACTACTGTTATCTACTTATAAAATATCTAGTGGATATTTTGGTTAATCTTTTACTACTACAAATATTACTGTGTACAAACATACTTTTAGAATACCTTGTTAGAAGAGGAATTGCTGAATCACAAGATACAGTATTTATACTGGATATATTACAAGTTTCTTAGAGAAGTGTCTACCTTTACTAACTGTATTATACTTTTTTTGTTGTTGGTTGTGGGGACTGAACGCAGGGCCTAGGTGCTATCTCTGAGTTTTCCCTAAGGCTGGTACTCTACCACTTTGAGCTACAGCTCCATTTCTGGCTTTCTGGTGGTTAATTAGAAATAAGAGTCTTAGGGACTTTGGGGCTGGCTTTGAATTGTGATCCTCAGATTTTAGCCTTCTGAGTGGCTAGGATTACAGGCCTGAGCCACCGGTTCCTGGCTTGCATTCTACTTTTAATGGTCTTTATTTATAATTTCAAGTTTATTTTTAACCCTGAATTAGTACTTCTAATTCTAAAGGTACATTAAATAGATTTAAAGAAACACCTAACAACTTGGTAGTTTAATGGTTCTAAAGAGAGAATACTGATTGTAATAAACATACTACTAAAGCCTAGGTGTTTGGGAGTTTTGTTTTTTTTTTGGTAGTGCAGAGGTTTTAAGCTCAGGACCTTGGGCTCGATAGGCAAATGCCTGTATCATTAAGCCATGACCCTATCTTTTCTTTTTAAAAAAAATTTCTCACTTTTCAATTAATGTATCTCTCTCTTCTTTCTTTCTTTCTTTCCCTTCTTTCCTTCCTTCCTTCTTTCTCTTCCTTTCCCTTCCTTCCTTCCTTCTCTTTCTTTCTTTCTTTTGTCAGAGGCCAGGTGACTACTGTCCTCCTACTTCTGGCCTCCCCCACAGCTGGGGTTACAAGCACATACCATACTTGCTTTGCTGAGATATGGAGTCTTACTAACTTTTCCCAGGCTGGTCCTGAACCACAGTCCTCCTGGATTTCCAACTCCCAGGTGGCAGGGATGATAGACACAAGCAAGACTTAGTTATAAAAGGCAAGAATTTAAATGTTTATGTTATATAATGGAATGTACCTCTGGTTGGGCAGTGCCACAAAAAACGTTAATAAAATTTCTGGGGCTTTCCTTGAGGTCTTCCCATTTTTTTTTCCATTTCTTTTTTCAGTTTATTTGCTTTGTATCTCTCGGCCATCAAAACAAGCTCTTCTGGAATATTCTGAAATGATTAAATGTGGTTAGGATTCTGACTTCTTTTCTTTAATATGCTAACATGCTCTAAGATCTTAAGAAAAACCTACACAACTAATGATGTGACATCTTCCAAAAACCAATAAAATGATAGAACATTTCTCAGTCTGCTAAGTCCTACATAGAGTTAATAGTTCCAGGCTACAGAACTCCACCCAACTTCCTCCTTCCCTCCCTCCCTCCCTCCTTCCCTCTTTCCCTCCCTCTCTCTCTCTCTCTCCCTCCCTCCCTTCTTCCCTTCCTTCCTTCCTTCCCTTTCCTCTTCCTTCCTTCCCTCTCTTCCTCCCTCCTTACTTCATGCTGGCACTGGGGCTTGAACTCAGGGCTCCCCACACTCTCACTTAGTTTTTTTGCTCAAGGCTGGTGCTCTACCACTTGAAGCTCAGTGCCATTTCCAGCTTCATGTTGCCTAATTAGAGATGAGTGATCTTTAGATCTCCACTTCCTATGTATCTAGGATTTCAGGCATGAGCCACCAGTGCCTGCCCTACCCATTTTAAGCCTCTTTTTCTTAGTCCCCCCTTCCTGGTTGGTTTCCCTTGTTTTTTTCTGTAATATACACCAGTCCCTCTGGCTTGGCTTCACATCTGGACCTGAGCATATTGTCAATATTGGGATCCTTTGAACATCATCTATGAATCCCCTTGGCTACTACTGTGCCAGTTTCTCACTGACATCAGGTGAGATTCTTGGTTGTATATACACCCATCCTCACTGTCTTTGTCATGCTTTGGTTCTCAGAGCATACATTCACTCCTGATAAGCAATATGTCCCAATCCATGGCTTAGGGGGCCAGAAACACTGAGATGTAGATTGAAGAGAGTAGCATACACTTACCTGATTTGCTCTTTTCAGAATATTAATCAGTTCAGTGGCAACCCTCCAATCATTTCTTGTGATAAGTGTAATAGACATGCCGGTCCTCCTTCAAGAGAGAGGAAAAGGGGCTCATGTAATTTCTTTTAATAGTCTATATATGTAATACAGTTCACATTGAAAATAGAGCCATGCACTGCTGGCTCATGCCTGTTATTCTACTTAGGAGGCTGAGATCATGAAGTCTGATGACAGGCTGGAAAGGAAGTCCACAAGACTCAATCTCCCAATTAACCAGCAAAATGTTGGGATGGAGGTATGTAGAGTGCCAACAGTGAGCAAACCAGAAACAAGTTCAAGCTCAGGTCCTGTTTAAACCATGGTAATGGCACAAAATTTTCAACTTTTCACGCAAGTGGAAACACAAATTTGTGTTGAATATTAAGGTTGAGAATACTCTCTTTAGGAATTTAGAACCTAAATAGTTATCCCTCAGTATCCAAAGGAGCTAGACTCATGACTCCCCTAAGGATATAAGAATCTGAGGCCAGGCGCTGGTGGCTCACGCCTGTAATCCTAGCTACTCAGGAGACTAAGATCTGAGGATCAAGGTTCAAAACCAGCCCGGGCAGGAAAGGCCATGAGATTCTTATTTCCAATAAACCACTCAGAAAACCAGAATTGGTGTTGTGGCTCAAGCGGTAGAGTGCTCACCTTGAGCTTAAGAGCACAGGGACAGTGCCCAAGCCCAGAGTTCAAGTCCCACAATCAACAAAAAAAAAAAGAATCTGAGGATGCTCAACTCCTATATATATATCATATGCATGGTATTTGCATATGACATACATATATTCTCCTTTTAAGTTACATCTAGATAAATTATATTACCTACAGAGGCACAACACAAATAGTTGCTATACTTTTTTTTGGGGGCTTGAACACCGGGCCTGGGCACTGTCCCTGAGCTTCTTTTGCTCAAGGCTAGTGCTCTACCACTTGAGCCACAGCGCTACTTCGGGCTTTTTCTTTTTTCTTTTTCTTTTTTGTCAGTTGTGGAGCTTGTTGCTATACTTTTTTTTTGTTCTTGCCAGTCGTGGGGCTTGAACACTGGGCCTGGGCGCTGTCCCTCAGCTCTTCAGTCCTTCAGCTCAAGGTGAGTGCTCTATCACTTGAGCCACAGTGTCATTTCCGGTTTTCTGCCTGGTTTATTGGAGATAAGAGTCTCATGGACTTTCCTGCCTGAGCTGGCTTTGAACAGAGATCCTCAGATCTCAGCCTCCTTAGCAGCTAGGATTACAGGCGTGAACCACTGGTGCCTGGCTAACTTCTGGGTTTTTGATGGTTAATTGGAGATAAGAGTCTTGAGGACTTTCTGCCTGAGCTGGCTTTGAACTGAGATCTTCAGAGCTCAGCCTCCTCAGTAGCTAGGATTGTGGGTGTGAGCCACCAGCACTCCGCTTGCAGTGGTTACTTTTGAGGTGGAGTCACAGGTGCCTGGCAGACAGTCTCACTTTTGCCTAGGCCTGTGCCTTGACTGTGATCTGCTTACTGTATGTTCACTGCTGTCGCTGGGATGACACCACGCATGGTTTCTTCAGTTGAGATGGGAGTCACATGGACTTTTCTTCCTTAAGATAACAGGCTTGTATCATTGCACCCAGCTATGGGTTGAGAAGGGATCTTGCATATGCCTGGGCTGGCCTTGAACTTTGATCTTCTCAATCTCAATGTCCCAATGAGCTAAGATTTCAGGCATAATCTGTGCTTGGCCAAACGTAGAAATTCTTTTCCAAATATTTTCTGTTTCTCATGGGTTCAGTGTGAAGATACAGAAATCCCAGTTTGGGGCTGGGAAAGTGGCTCAGTGGTAGAGTGCTTGCCTTGCATGCATGAGGCCCTGGGTTCGATTCCTCAGCACCACAGAAACAAAAAAAGACGGAAGTGGCACTATTGCTCAAGTGGTAGAGTACTAGCCTTGAGCTGAAGAACTGAGGGACAGCGCCCAGGCCTAGAGTTCAAGCCCCATGACCGACATTAAAAAAAAAGAAAAGAAAAAAAGAAAACAAAACCAGAATCCCCAGTTTGGGAAGGGTAATCTACAGTTGTGTAAAACTTCCTCTGTGTGTGTGTATGTGTGTGTGTGTGTGTCCACAGTAGCAAGGGGTAAGTTCCTCTTTCATAAGTATGCCTGTTTATAGATCGTCTACAACAATATAATCACTGGTACAGCTCAGTGTTGAAACACTATAAATTGGAAACAGAATAGAATCACAAACAGTTATGTGAAAGTAACCATGGCAGAGATCTAGTTGATCAGAAAAGCAGGATCTGGTGAGGAACACAGCATTTCCAAGCAAGTTTTTGTTTGTTTTTTGGATAACACTATTCTTGCCAGGTGCCAGTGACTCATGCCTAAAAGCTCAACCACTCCTGAGGCTGAACTCTGAGAATCTCCATGCAAAGCCAGCCTGGGCACGCAAACCAGACTCTCATATCCATGTAACCGGCAAAAAGCCCGGCTGGAGGTATGGCTTAAGAGAAAGAGCTCCAGATCTTGAATGAAAAAGCCAAGCACAGGACACTGAGTTCAAGCTCCAGCACACACACACACACACACACACACACACACACACACACATGCACAGAGAAAATAAGGTGTGCAAAGGGCAAGGATGAGAATCCACAACTGGTGTTTTTCCAGGGTGGGCTATGTCACTTACCCCGCTCTTCCAGTGCGCCCCACTCGGTGCACGTATTCTTCAATGTTCCGTGGAAAATCGTAGTTGTACACATGTGTGATATCATGGACATCAAGACCGCGCGATGCCAAGTCGGTAGCGATTAGTATTCTCACTTTTCCTGACAAAACAACAATTGAATATTGACTCATTCAGGCCTGAAAGAAGTACCAGCAAAATATATTGACAGCTAGGCATTGGTGGTTCACATCTATAGTCCTAGCTACCCAGGAGGCTGAGATCTGAGAATCAAGGTTCAAAGCCAGCCCAAGCAGGAAAGTCTGAGATACTATTATCTCCAATTAAGCATCAAAAAGCTGGAAGTAGAGCCATGGCTCAGGTCATTGAGAACCAGGATTTGAGTAAAAAAGCTAAGGAACAATGCCAGACCCTGAGTTCAAACCCCAGTACTGATATGCGCATGCGCACACGTGCACGCCTCGCACTCAGACACACAGACACACACACAGTGTATTTACTCCTATTATTTGATCAGACTACTGGCAAGTTATAACATAAATGATACCATGTCTCAGCAATAGTCCCTGAACTATCCGAACTGTGACAGAAAGATGTCTACCTTTCAAAGACATTGAGATATAACCTACATTACAAGTTAATATCTGTTCTTTTCATCTGTGACAATACTAGGGCTTGAACTCAGGGTCTGGGCTTTGTCCCAAGGCCAATTCTCTACCACTTGAGCTATAGCTCCATTTCTAGTTTTTGGTGGTTAATAAGAGTCTCACATACTTTCCTGCCTAAGCTGGCTTCAAACCATAACCCCCAGATTTCAGCCTCCTGATTAGCTAAGGTTACAGGCATGAACCACTAGTGCCCAGCTTGAATATTAGCCTTTTTTTTTCTTGGCATTTGACTACTTACTTCTTAGAGGTTTGACCTAGTTCTTTAGAGCTTTGATATTGGAGATTTGATATTTAGAGTATATTGTTCATTATATAATTGTTAATTTGATACTTAGAATATACTTTGGGAACATGCACTGAGGACAAATCCTGGAAATGGGTTCCAAGGAAAGAAGCTATCTCTCAGTGATGCCAGGCTAGGAGACTCATTTTATATTTATTTACTTATTTATCTATCTTTGCTGGTCCTGGCAGTTAGGTAGGGAACTTATTTTAAATGGCAGTGATATCCGTTTTGTAAATGTACCTGTTTTAAAGTTTTCTAGTGCTTTCTCCCGATCACTCTGCTCTCTGTTTCCATGCAGAGACTCTACTGATATTTGTCGAAGAATCAGGTCACTTGATAAGTGGTCAGCACTGAAGCAAAAGATATAAGTTAACCAGACCACCATCAGTGTACTAACAAATAGCTGAATTCAGGGAACAAACAGGGGCAATGCTATTGAAAATCTCAGGGCACACAGACACAATTGTAAACAAACCATTTGCTTGATGATTACAATGAAGGTAGAAAGGAAATACCTACACAGCTTTTCTGCTCACAAAGACAATGACCTTGTCTTTAGGTGACATACTCTCCAGGAACGTTTGGATGTGAGTTCGCTTCTCTTCCTCTGTGGTGATGATTATATTCTGCTTCACTGTGCTCACAGCCTAGAAGATTCAAAGATCACAGTGCCCAGTGAGGGAGAAACCCCTCAACTGAAAAACCTGTCATTCACTGATGTACTGAAAATCCAAAGGCAGAGATCAGAGCAAAATTACCTATTTCTCCACAAGATTTATGGCTCAGCTTTCTGCTTTGATATTTTATCCACTCAAATGTTAGTTTAGGAACACCTACATTCCCTGTTTACAAAAATTAGCTTCCTGCTGGGCACAGGTGGCTTGTGTCTAATGCACTAATGCTACTCAGGAGGTTGATCTGAGGATTCACAACCAGCCTGGGCAGACAAACGTGAGAGACCTTTTTCCCCCCAATTAACCAGCAAAAACAAGCTAGGAGTGGAGCTATGGCTCAAGTGGTTGAGTGCCAGCCTTGAGTGAAAAAAGCTAAGCAAGTTTGCAAGGCCCTGAATTGAAGCCACAATATTGGAACAAAAAAAAACCCCAAAATTATCTTGCTGACACACTTGGGGTAGTTTGCTTACAATAAAGTATGATTAGATTATGACACTTGAGTATCAATTCAGTATTTGGCAATTTATTACAAAATTTCAAAATAGTTGGGTGCTGGTGGTTCATGGCTGTGGTTTTAGCTACTCAGGAGGCTGAGATCTAGAAATCAAGGTTTGAGGCCAGCCCAGGCTGAAAAGTCTGTGAGACTGAATTTCCACTTAATTAGTAAAACACTGGGCTAGAGGCATGGCTAAAGTGGTAGAGTGCCACTTGTGAGTAAGAAAGCTGAGCAAGACTGTGGGTGAGGCCCTGAGTTCAAGCAACACACACATACACATACACACACACACAAGAAAATTCAAAACATTATTGGTAGCTGGACAGTGGTAGCTCACACCTATAATCCTAGCTACTCAGGAGGCTGAGATTTGAGGATCACAGTTTAAAGCCCGTTTGGGAAGGGAAGTCCATGTGATTGTTATTTCTAATTAACCAGCAAAAAACCCTGAAGTTAAGATGTGGCTTAAGTGGTAGATCATCAGTCTTGAGCAAAAAGAGCTCAGGGACAGTGTCCAGGCCCTGAGTTCAAGCTCCATGACAGACATGCTCGCGTGCACGCACGCACACCCACACACGCATGCACGCACACAGACATACACACACACAAATATTATTGATGCCATTCTTCAATGCATAATGGTGTAAAACATACATCTCCTCAAATAAAACAGATTTTGGTCGCATTCACAGAAGAGAAATACAAGGCATTTATATCATTTCCTGAATGTTCCTGACATTTTGTAAACTATGCATTATTTTATACTTAGAGACTATTTGTCAATTCATAGAGCTTAGAATAGACATGTCAAAATTAGCTATGAGTTTTATACGGTGTTTTTCTGTTTCTGTTTTTGGTGTTGGAGGTTGAACCCAGGGCCTCTTCACACATGCTAAACATATATCATATCACCCCTATCCCTTTTCCTATGTGTTTTAAATAAGGAAAGTTTAATAGTAATAAAAGAAAACAAGCTTACAATCAGATCCAACGTGCCAACATAGACAATCATTGGTTCTTTCAAATAAGATTGTGCAAGGCGACGGACAGCATATGGCCAAGTAGCACTGGAAACAAGACACAACAACATTACAAACTAGTGCATGGTAGTCCCAGCACTTAGAAGGCTGAGACAAAAAACTTTGATTCCAGGGCAGCCTGGACTACACAGTGAGACTCTGTCTCAAAAAATTTTTATTAAAATACATTACTAAATTTCCTTTAAAATACTACGAACTCAAGTTATTCATAAATACAATGTTAATATTTCTATTTTTCAATAAGTAAAATATATTTTATAAATAACCTTACTAAGAATTGTTGCTAGTAATGCGACTCAATGAAAATTTAAAATAGGCTTAATAAAAAGTTCTTTATAGCTGGGCTCTGGTGTCTCATGCCTGTAATCCTAGCTGCTCAGGAGGCCAACACATGAAGAGTGTGGTTGGAAGCCAGTCCTTGCAGAAAAATCTGACTCATCTTCCTAAAGATCAGAAATGGGGCATGGCTCAAGTTGTAAAGCACCAGCATTGAGTGAAAAAGCTAAAGGACAGTACCTAGACCCTGAGTTCAAACCCCAGTGCAGGCACATACAGACATATAAAAAGATTTGTGTAATCCAAGGGTTAAGGATCGATAGTTTTTAAGCTAATTTTAATGTATTAAAAGGTAATAAGGCAATCAGTGTTAGGTTAGTTTTACCTTGGCCTTTATAGACAAAAAAATTAATCTTATTCATACAAGGTTACTAGCAGGCAAAACCATGTTCTTATGTCAAATACAAATTAATTTTAAATCAAAGTGCATCTAAATTGAAATGCTTCTACAATCATGTATAAAATAACGGAAGTTGGCTGGGCACGGTGCCTCAGGCCTGTGATCCTAGCTACTCAGGAGGCTGAGATCTGAGGATCCAGGTTCAAAGCCCGCCTGGGCAGGAAAACTCATGAGACTCTTATCTCCAATAAACGGCTCAGAAAACCAGAAGTGGCACTGTGGCTCAAGTGGTAGAGCACTAGCCTCGAGCTGAAGAGCTGAGGGACAGTGCCCAGACCTAGAGTTCAAGCTCCACGACCAACAAAAAAAAAAAAAAAAAAATAATGGGAGTGACCACCTTCTGTACCTCCCAGTATTAAAATGAAATCAAACTTCTTTTTTAAAAGGGTAAGATTACAGAAAACAGGAGATTTAGATTATGTTTCCCTTCTTCCTTCTCTCCTCCCCTCCCTCTCCTCTTCTCATTGTTTTTTTTTTTCATTCATGCCAGGACTGAAGTTTGAACTCAGGGCCTGGAAGCTATTCCTTAGCTTTCTCATTTCCAGGCTGGCACTCTACCATGTGAACCACAGCTTCACTTCTGAATTTTTGGTGGTTAAATGGAGATTAAGTGCATCAAGGACTCTCTTGCCTGGGCTGGCTTTGAACCATGATTTTTCAGATGTCAGCCTTCTGAATAGTTAGGATTATAGGTGTAAGCTTGCAGTGCCTGGCTTAGTATACTTCTTCAGTATTATTTACCCTTAATAAATGAAGATAAAGGATATAGTCCAGAAGAAATTAGTATTTATAGATCAACTGCTCATAATTAAAATAACAATAATTACTTTCTCCCTTTTATCTTGGATAAGAAAAAAAATCAGTATTCAAATGTTACCTCTAAGGACAGATGAACCCTTTTTGTAATATAGGATTTGTCCATAAAGGGGGCTGGGAAGGTGGCTCAGTGGTAGAGCACTTGCCTTGCATGCTTGAGGCCCTGGGTTTGATTCCTCAGCACCACATAAGAAAAAAGCCAGAAGTGGCGCTGTGGCTCAAGTGGTAGAGTGCTAGCCTTGAGCTGAAGAGCTGAGGGACAGAGCCCAGGCCCAGAGTTCAGGCCTCACGACCGGACCCCCCCCCAAAAAAAAAAGGATTTGTCCATAAAGAGCAAACATTTTTGAATAAAACCCTATCTGAGCAGACACTGGTGGTTCTTGATTATAATCCTAGCTACTTAGGAAGATGAGACTTGAGGAGCCTAAAGCAAGCCTGGGCAAAAAAGTCCTTGAGACTCTTATCTCCAGTTAACCGGCAAAAATCTTGTGGCATAAGTGGTAGAGCACCAGCATTGAGTGAAACACTGAGAGAGAGCACTCAAATCCTGAGTTCAAGCCCCGGTACCAGCACAACAAACAAAACCCTATCTGTACCTACAGAAACCTGATAGTTAAGAATAAAGTAGATATTGATACAGTAACACTTCACATTATTTTAGCTAATGCTCTCAAATATTGTGAAAAAATCAACTAAACAGAATGGGAATCTAATCTACCGACTTCATACAATAATTAGGTCAACCTACCTTGTCATAATTGTCTGCCTGTCTGGGCGCACATCTAACAAAATCTTCATTATCTGGGGTTCAAATCCCATGTCCAGCATCTTGTCTGCCTCATCTAAAACCTGAATTCACAGTGGAAAAAGGTGGCTGATCATGCTTTGTGTTTCTTAGGAATCTAATCTTATTTCCTCCCACAACCTAAGCTGCTAGAAATCAAGATAATGGAGTGGAGCTACCTGCAGTTACCAGGTGTAACCAGTCCATTAATTTTACTTGACTTTCCAATTGCCCAAATCTAGTTATGAAATTAAACTGTCTTAGGCAGCCCATCGATGGCTCACACCTGTAATCAGGAGGCTGCGATCTGAGAAAGTATGGGAGAAAAGTCTGAGATCCTTATTTCTAATTAACCAGGAAAAAAGCTATAAATGGAGCTCTGGCTCCAATAGTAAAGCTCCATTCTTCTTTTTTTTTTTTTTTGCTAGTCCTAGGGCTTGAATTCTGGACCTGGGCTCTGTCTCTGAGCTTCTTTTTCTCAAGGCTAGTGCTCTACCACTAGAGCCACAGTGCCACTTCTGTTTTTTCTTGAATTTATTGGAGATCAGACTTTCCTACCTGGGGTTAGCTTGAACTGTGATCATCAGATCTCAGCCTCTTGAGTAGCTAGGATTACAGGCATGAACCACTGGCTCCTGGCTTAAAGCCCCATCCTTGATAGAAAAAGCTAAATATATAAGCAAGTCTATGAGGCCCTGAGTTTAAGTCCCAGAACCAGCAAACACACACATACATAAAAATAAGCTGGGTGCTGGTAGCTCATGCCTGTAATCCTAGGTCCTCAGGAGGCTGAGACTTAAGGATGAGGTTCAAAGCTAGCACAGGCACTAACGTCTGTGAGATTCTTATTTCCAAATAATCCAAAAAAGCTGGAAGTGGAACTATGGTTCAAGTAGTAGAGTGACAGCCTTGAGAGAAAAAGCTAAGAAATAGTGCCTAGGTCCTGAGTTCAAGGCCCTCTACAGGCACACAGAAACAAATTAAAATGTCTAATCTAATTAACATCCTAAAGGGAATGAGAATTATTCCCAGAATCTAAAACTGGAATAGTAAGATAGGCAGCCATCCTAAAAAGCTTTTTAACAATAGTTCATTGTCTTCCTATTACTCCAAACCCCCATTCCATATTACCAAATAGGTTACACTTTTCAGGTTGACAAAGTTATTCATTTGTAGGTCATTCAGTCTTCCCGGAGTTGCAATGATGATGTCTACACCTTTTGAAATATCTTGTATTTGTGCATCTCTATCTCCACCACCGTATATACAAACACTTAAAAGAAATCCAGAGGATCATGTTTAGGCAAAGAATAACCTATTACAACTCAAAATCCCAATCAACCTAAGCATTTGGTACACAATAAAATGAACCATGCGCATACCATTACTTCAACATGGCTACAGTTGGTTGATTGGATCGGGAGTGGGGTAGATGCCTGACCCACAATGAAGTTATAAAAATGCAGAACACTAAGTTAGACAAAAAGCAAGAACTCCAGTGGTTTTATTGTTCAGTAGAGTGATTACAGATAAAATGTATCAAAAAGCTACAAAGAGCAGGTGGTTCATACCTGTAATCCTCAGGAGGCTGAGATCTGAGGATCACAGATTGAAGCCCGCCCAGGCAAGAAAGTCTGTGAGACTCTTATCTCCAATAAACTACCAAAAATCTGGAAATGGAGCTGTGGCTCAAGTGGTAGAGTGCTAGCTTTGGGCAAAAGAAGATCAGGGATAGACTGCAGGCCCTGAGTTCAAGCCCCAGGGGCGGGGGAGGGAGTGGCGTGTGCAAACACAAACACACACACATCTACAAAAAATTTTCCATGTTTTCCTTCTTTCTTCCTCCCTCCCTCCCTTCCTTCCTTTCTTTCCTTCTTGTTGGTCATAGAGCTTGAACTCTGGGCCTGGGTGCTATCCCTCAACTCTTCAGCTCAAGGCTAGTGCTCTACCACTTGAGTCACAGCACCCACTTCCGGCTTTTTCTGTTTATGTGGCTCTAAGGAATCGAACCCAGGGCCTCATGCATGTGAGGCAAGCACTCTACCACTGAGCCACCTTCCCAGCCCCTCCATGTTTTCATTATGAACTACATGGTAAATTTTGGGGAAAAGATGTTGAATCTGATTTCAATAGGACACAAAAAAATATAAACATATATTGAAACATATGCTACACCCTATTAAGAAGTATGATTTTGTTTTTATAAACTGATTAAAATAAATTTAATTTATAGGGCTGGGGGAGTAATAATTCAGTGGTAGAACATTTGCTTATTATCAAGTTCAAAATCTGTTTAATCCTTAGGATCACAAAAATTTAAATTCCAACAAATAAAATGTCTCCCCGATTCATGCATATGTGGGTATAGAAATGACCCTAGAAATGACTCACCTTTTAAGACCTTTATATGAATATTTAGAACACTCAGCTTCCACTTGAAGAGCTAATTCCCGGGTAGGCGTAAGGACTAACATGCCTGGTCCATTTCTTTTTTCTCTAGCTCTTTGAAAAGGAAACATTCATATTAAAATCCCTGTCTCAGATGTCTGGTTCATTCATTCATGTAGAATTTAATTAATTAAAATTAATTAATTTTTTTTTGGGTCCGGTCGTGGGGCCTGAACTGTGGGCCTAGGCGCTGTCCCTCAGCTCTTCAGCTCAAGGCTAGTGCTCTACCACTTGAGCCACAGCGCCACTTCCGGCTTTTTTCTTTTTGCTTATGTGGTGCTGAGGAATCGAACCCAGGGCCTCGAGCATGCAAGGCAAGCACTCTACCACTGAGCAACCTTCCCAGCCCAAAATTAATTAATTTTTGAGGTACTGGGGACTGGACTCAGTCCAAGATTGCTAGCAGTGAGTCTCAAAATGAGTCATAGCCAGACAGATTTGAGCTTTCTATCATCTTAGGAGTAAAAGTTCCCTCAGTATGCTATAGACTTTGGTTTACTAATTATAATTCATATACCTAAGAAAAAGCATATGGTAGCATGATAAGTCTTTTTTTTTGTCCTCCCTCCCTCTTTTCTTTCCTCCCTTCTTTTCCTCCCTGTCCTTTTGTGTGTGTACTGAAACTTGAAAACAGGGCCTCATACTCTTGCTTGGCTTTTTGCTCAAGGATGGTGCTCTGCCCCTGGTGCTCTACACCTCTACTTCCAGCTTTTTGGTAGTTAATTGGATATGAGTCTCATGGATATTCTTGCCCAGGCTGGCTTTGAACCATGATTCTCAACTCTTAAGACTCATGAGTAGCTAAGATTACAAGTGTGAGCTACCAGAACCAGCTGGACAGGTTTTTATAAATTGTTTCAGATGACATAAACAGAGTTTCTATCAAGTGGGGAAACAGAAAATAAGTGATATATATCACAACCCCAGTGAACAACAGGACACTAAGCCCTAATAGCTAATGAAAAGCCTATTGTCTATTTTATTTAATAGGACTTTTTCACTTAATTTCAAATGTCAGACATTTTCTCACTGAAATAGAGAACTGTTTTAGACAACTTATTTGTTCAGTTTTATTTTAAATTTTTTACATAGGGCAATTTAAATAGTTTGATGACCATATTTCTCAAGACTTTTGGTAGACATAACCTGTTGCTTCCTGAAAGTGTTTTCCCAATTAGGACACTCCTTTTTTCTCTTTCTTTCTTTTCTTTCTTTCTTTGCCAATCCTGAGGCTTGAACCCAGGGTGCTGTCCCCGAGCCTCTCTGTGCTCAAGGCTAGTACTCTACCACTTGAGCCACAGTGCTATTTCCGGCCCTTTCTGTTTATGTGGTACTGAGGAATTGAACCCAGGGCTTCATGTACACTAGGCAAGCACTCTACCACTAAGCCACATTCCCAGCTCTAACACTCCTTTTTTCTTTTGGTGATACTGGGGTTTGAACTCAGGATTTCACACTTGCTAGGCAGGTGCTTTACTGCTGAGCCATGCCTCCAGCCCTTGTTTCCCCAATTAATATTTTCTTTCGCATGATATATTCTGTACTCTCTGGCAACCTTCCAAGCATCAATTAAACTCCTGAGAAGAAAATTCAGCCAATGGAATTCTTACACTGGTTGAGAGTCTAGATGAATAAATCCAGGCATTAAATATGACAGTGTCTTCCCTGTTCCGGTTTGTGCTACTCCAATAAGATCTATTCCTTGCAAAACTATTGGCCATGACTGTGACTGAAAAACAATGATAAATACAATAAATATAATAAAACAAAAAAGCAAGCACATTTTTTTTTGCATCCCTTATTGTCCCTTTTCTCCCAGCTCCTTTCAACGGATGTGGTATTGGTCATGGGGCCTGAACTCAGGAGCGCTGTTCCTCAGCTCTTCAGCTCAAGGCTAGTGCTCTACCACTAGAGCCACAGCACCACTTCCAGCCTTTTCTGCTTATGTAGTGCTGGGAACTCAAACCCAGGGCCTCATGCATGCAAGGCAAGCACTCTACCACTGAGCCACCTTCCCAGCCCCAGATGGGGGTTAAAAAAATTTTTTTTTCTTTTGCCTAGAGATAAGAGTCTCATAAGACTTTTTCCTGTCTGGGCTAGTTTCAAACTAGTATTACAGGTGTGAGCCATGGAACCTAGTATGTACCGTGGCACTCAGTGTGCTAACTTAACCTTAACTTCCAACAGTCAGATACTGCTTGAGGGAGAAAAAAAAAATCCCAGTCAGTAAAATGTGAGGATTTAAAGAAAGCATACCTGAATTGGTGTTGGATTTTGAAAACCTGCCTTTTTAATATTTTCCATCACTTCAGGGTAACTATGAAAGGCATCTTCAAATTTACAAGTAGGATTGGGGATACGACGTTTCTCACCATCTTTCAAGTCATCACATGTTATATTAAAATTTTCCTTCCTTTATAGAAAAATGTAAGAATTAATAACTTTATTCCTTAAGATTTTTGTTTCAAAATCTGCTCAAGTCATATCTTGAAACTCAACTGCAACAGATTAAAACCAAACTGTTGGAAAATTCACAGTGAGACATAGAAGGAACCCATAATCCTAACATTTAAGAGGTCAAGGCAGAAGGATCACAGATTGAGGCCAGCTTTTGAGATACATTGCAAAGGTGTCTCAAAATAGAGAAGAGGAAATAGAAATTTAAATTATATGGACGATGATGAGCCAATGAAAGTAACCAAAATGAAAGATCATGAAAAATGAAACCAGAAAATCATGGGCTTCATAATTTAAAAGCACCTTGAGAACCTGCAATGATCTACATGTTTTTCCTTTTGTGGTTAATATAGGACTTAACTCAGGGGCCTGGTTCTTGCTGGCACTTCTACCACTTGAGCCACATCTCCAGTTCAGGTTCTTTGCTGGAGATGGAGTCTCTTGGATGTTTTTTGCTTGGGTTGACTTAGGACTGTGATTCCCCCCGAGTCTCAGCCTCTCAAATAGCTAGGATTACAGGAGTAAGCCACTTGTAACCCAGGGGATTCTAATTGGAGGCCAACTTGGGCAAAAGGTTAGCAAGACTCCATCTCAATCAATAAAGATTACAGGTATATACCTGTAATCACAGCTGCCTAGAAGACCATTAGCATGAGGATTCAGGCCAGGTAAGCAAACCCCAGGAAAAAATGCATAACACTACTTGGAAACTAACTAAAGCAAAAAGATGAAGATTTGCTTAGGAACAGTTCCATCTTTTTTTTTTTTTTTGGTGGTACTAGGGTTTGAAGTCAAGGCCTTGCATTTGCTTGGCTGGCCTTCTACTGCTGAGCCATGACTTGGATGTTCTTTTCTTTTAGGGCCTGGGGACTATCCCTGAACTTCTTTTGCTCAAGGCTAGTGCTCTACCATTTGAGCCACAGTACCTCTTCTGGCTTTTCTGAGTAGTTTATTGGAGAAAAGAGACTCACAGATTTTTCTGCCTGGGCTGGCTTTGAACTGCGATCCTCCGATCTTGATCTCAGCCTCTTGAGTAGCTAGGATTGCAAGTGTGAACCACCAGTGCCTGGCCATGTCCTGGGGGCTTTTGATGGTTCCTGCCAGGTGCGTGCCTAAGGTACTACTATGTACTTTAAAATTCCAGTAGTTGGGCTAGGAAGGTGGCTCGGTGTTAGAGTGCTTGCCATGAGGCCCTGGGTTCAATTCCTCAGCACCACAGAAAAAGAAAAAAAGCTGGAAGTGGTGCTGTGGCTCAAGTGGTAGAGCACTAGCCTTGAGCTGAAGAGCTGAGGGACAGTACCCAGGTCCAGAGTTCAAGCCCCACTACCAACAACAACAACAACAACAAATCCTGTAGTTTTAGGATTGCAGGCACAATGCACCAAGTGTAACTTCCTTCGTTGAGATTGGGTCTCTCAGACTTTTCTGTTTGTGCTGGCCTCAACCCGTGATTCTCCTGTTCTCAGCCTCCCAAGTAGCTAGGATGACAGCTATGAGCCACCAGCACCCATTGTCAAGTAGTTCCATCTTTAAGAAAGCCCAAAGATGGTGGTAAAAAAGAAGTAGTTACTAAATGTATATCTAAAAGCCAAGTGTTCTGTCATGAAAAACATAAAGCCAAAAGGGCTAGTGGGTAGCAAGGTTCAAGCGTAAAGTGCTCACGTAGCAAGTGTGAGGCCTGGAATTCCAACTGTAGTACCAGCAAACAAATAAAAAATAAAAAAGTAAATAAACACATATACTTCTTGTATGCTTCTTGTTGCTACTCTAGCCTCTTCAGTGTGTTGGTAATTTGTGTGTGTGTGTATGCCAGTACTATGGCTTGAACTCTGGGCCTTTAGCTCTCATGAGCTGTTTTGCTCATAGCTAGAACTTTACTCTGTGAGCCATACTGCCACTTGTAGCTTTTTCTTGGTTAATTAGAGAGCAGAGTCTCCCTGGTTTGCCTGCCCTGGCTGCCTCTGAAGAGATGGTCAGATCTCAGTCTCCTGAGCCAGGATTGTATGCAAGAGCCTACAATCGGTGTTAATAAATCTGTATGGTCCTTCAGCGATGTTATAAATATCCTAATGACCTTGGCAGAAAAAAAGGTTTCCAGCTCTGCTCTGAAATAACCATTAGCAGCACAGCAGATACATATCACGGTTTGCTGTCAACCGCTAACTACATAATCATATGCCATCCTTTTTTCTTTGGCCACTCCTGGGGCTTGAACTTAGGGCCTAGGCGCTGTCCCTGAGTCTCTTTGTACTTAAGGATAATGTTCTGCCACTTGAGGCACAGCACCACATCTGGCTTTTTCTTAGTTTATTGGAGATAAGAGAATCATGGACTTTATTGCCCGGGATGGCTTTGAATAACAATCCTCAGATCTCAGCCTCCTGAGGAGATAGGATTATAAGTGTGAGCCAGCAGTGCCTAGCTATATGCCATATATTTTGACTGGCAGCAAAGTAGGTCTGTTATACAATACTACAACTCCTCAACAATGCACTGTAGTGTTATGATACCTATAAAATTCATGCAGTAAGAGAAATTTTTCTGTTGTATTATAATCTTGCAGACCACTATCATGTATGAAGTCCATGTCACTTGATATCTCTGTTAGTACCTCCAGTTCCTCAATTATACAAGTCAGATTTAAGTACTCAATTGCTAGGTAGATACTGGCAGCTTATACCTGAAACCCTAGTTATTCAGCAGCTAAGATTTGAGGATCAAGGTTCAAAGCCAACCTGGGCAGAAAAGCCCACAAGACTTATTTCTAATTAACCACCAAAAAGCCAGAAGTGGGCTGTACCTCAAGTAGTAGAGTGCCAGCCTTGAGTGAAAAAGCTAAGGGACAGAGCTCAGGCCCTGAGGTCAAGATTTATTGTTGGCACATACGCGCGCGCGCGCACACACACACACACACACACACACACTCAGTGGCTATATATGGCTACTCTAGACATGGTAGTATGGTTTGTTTTTGTTTTGTTGAGACAGAGTCTTGCTATTTAGCTCATGCTGGCCTTGAATTACCACCTTCTGAGTGCTAGGATTAGAAGCAGGTGCCTCCATCACTGGTTGCAACATGTTGTATCCAATACTAATGCCTGAAAACATATCGTGGAGGATACAACCAAGTTTTCAATTGAATAACTATTTATGTTTGTGTATGCAAATACAATCATATCAAATATACTTCAAATACAATCATATTAAATCCTTGCCTCAAGATTTAATTTCACCACCCATTTTCAAGCTACTGAAAGTGTATTCCTTTTCTAGTGAAGTTTCCTATCATGTTCACATTTAAAAAATAGTTTAAGCCAGGCGCCAATGGCTCATACCTGTAATCCTAGCTACTCAGGAGGCTGAGATCTGAGGATCGCAGTTCAAAGCCAGCCCAGGCAGGAAAGACTGTGAGACTCCTATCTCCAATAAACCACCAGAAAACCGGAAGTGGTGCTGTAGCTCAAGTTGTAGAGGGCTGGCCTTGAGCTGAAGAGCTGAGGGACAGTGCCCGGGCCCAGAGTTCAAGCCCCATGACCAACCAAAAAAAATAGTTTAAAGGAGTGGCGCTGTGGCTCAAGAGCTAGAGCGCTAGCCTTGGGCTGAAGAGCTCAGGGACAGTTCCTAGTCCCAGAGTACAAGCCTCATGACTGACCAAAAAAAAAAAAAACTTCTGAATTTTGGGCTGGGAAGGTGGCTCAGTGGTAAAGTGCTTGCCTTGCATGCCTGAGGCCCTGGGTTCGATTCCTCAGAACCCTATAAACAGAAAAAGCTGGAAGTGGCTCGAGCTCTAGCCTTGAGCTGAAGAGCTGAGGGACTGCCCAGGCCCAGAGTTCAGGCCCCACAACCCACAAAAACAAAGGAGTCTAATTTGGGACACAGTTTGTGTATTAAGCTGATGTACTGAAGAAAGTAAATTTTGTATGTAATGTATCAACCTAAGTGACATAGACTGTGATAATGTGATATAGGAATATTAACATGTCAAAACATACATTATTAATGATGGTCTTTTATTTAAAATATATTAACATTATTTCAGGTGACCATTTTTCACAGTGTATATAAAATACCTATTTATAAAACTTATAAAATGTTATGCTTTACGAATAAGAAAACAAAACAAAAGAGAGTTTAGCCAGGCTCTGGTGGCTCACACATGTAATTCTAGCTATGCAGGAGGCTGACATCTGAGGATATCAAGTCAGAGCCAGCTGGGGAAGAAAGGTCCTTGAGAGTCTTACTTCAAATTACTCACCAAAAAGTAAGAAATGGTAGCTATGGCTCAAGTGGTAAGAGTGCCAGCCTTGAGAGAAAAAGCTCAAGGACAGCACGCAGGCCTTGAGTTCACGCCTTAGCATCTGAACAAAATAACAACCGTTAATATATAAAAACACACTTAAGCCAGGCGCCAGAGACTCACTCCTGTAATGCTAGCTACTCAGGAGGCTGAGATCTGAGGATCGAGGTTCAAAGCCAGCCTGGGCAGCAAAGTCTGTGTGATACTCTTATCTTCAATAAACTGGAAGTGGTGCTATGGCTCAAGTGGTAGAGCACTAGCCTTGAGCTGAAGAGCTCAGGGACAGCGCCCAGGCCAGAATACAGGCCCCATGACTGACAAAAACAAAACAAAACAAAACAACACACTTAATGAGGTAATAAAACAAAATTACTCACCTCCAGGTGTCTATTTGCACTTGTGACATTGAGCTTGTTGTTTCTGACTCTACGTAAAAGTTTTTCTTAATTGGGGGTAAATCTAGGTACAAAGATGAAAACAAACTTTGATAAAATAATGACAATCAACATTTCATTAACATTTATTGAAAGCTATAGAAATTGATGTAAAGTATGCACTAAGTTTTCCATGAATGTGCTAAGTTCTTCATGAATAAATCTTAGACATTTTTATAGTGTTCCACTCTAAATCTCATTAATCCTAGTAAATAGAAGGCTAAGATCTGAGGATCATGGTTCAAAGACAGCCTGGGCAGAAAAGTCCATGAGACTCCAGCAACAAGCCAGAGCAGAGGTATGTCTACATAGAGTGCCAGCATTAAGCTAAAAAGTCAAGTGAGGGCATGAGGCCCCGAGTTCAAGCCCGAGTACAAGTGTATGCACGTGTACAAGCACACATGAGCACACACATACTACACACACACATACTCCTTTTGGTTTCCTTTCAATTACATTCCTTACCCAGGAAAGGCATTTTTATAATTTCAAATAAGGGTAAACATGATTTTACAAGACATCAAGCCACCACAACTTTTAATTTCAAGATTCATATCTTTACATTTTTGCCAATCCAGGGGCTTGAACTCAGGGCCTGGGCACTGTCCCTGAGCTTCTTTTGCTTAAGGATAGCACTCTACCACTTGAGCCACAGCTCCACGTCCAGTTTTTTCTGTTTATGTGATCCTGAGGAATTGAAGCCAGGGCTTCAAGCATGCTAGGCAAGCACTCTACCACTAAGTCACATTCCCAGCCCTACTTTTTTTTTCCTAAGTGCTGGAATTGAACCTTGTATACACTAAGTTCTAGGCCACAGACTCCAGTCCCCCTACCATTCTAATAAAGAATTAAATTTAAGCTGGGTGCGGGTAATCCTAGCTACTCAGGAGGCTGAGTAGCTTTGAACCGAGGATATCGGTTCAAAGCCAGCCCAGGCAGGAAAGTCCGTGAGACTCTTATCTCCAATAAAACGCTCAGAAAACCGGAAGGGGTGCTGTAGCTCAAGTGGTAGAATGCTAGTCTTGAGCTGAAGAGCTGAGGGACAGCGACAAGGCCCAGAGTTCAAGCCCCACGACTGACCAAAAAAAAAAAAAAAAAGATTCATATTCTGTCTCTGAGACATATATATTTCTGTTTGACTTACTATAATCCTATTATTTTTAAATAGTTGTACAAAGGAGACTAAACTTCTTAAATGCTTATCTTCCAAATTTAAATCCTTTCCCTAGACTCATTTATAGTAAATCTGTACAACACATCTATTATCTGGAAATTTAACAGCCAGAGGTGCTGACCAACAAACATTTTGTTCATTGTATATCTAGGGCTTGAACTCAGGGCCTTAGTGCCATCCCTGAACTTTTTTTTTTTTTGGGTCCGGTTGTGGGGCCTGAATTCTGGGCCTAGGTGCTGTCCTTCAGCTCTTCAGCTCAAGGCTAGCGCTCTACCATTTGAGCCACAGCGCCACTTCCAGCTTTTTCTTTTTTGCTTATGTGGTGCTGAGGAATC